CCACCATACAGTACTTTATCCTGGATGGGCTCAAAACCCCTTTTAACCACCGTACCGAGCTTTAAGCTTGGTAAGCATATCTCCTTTCCCTTCTTCTCGCCCACTCAACTCTCTTTCATCCACTTTTGCATCCCGCTTTTTTTCTCCTCTTGTTTTTTAACTATTAACCCTCCACCCCCTACGGTTCCACGCACATTCCTCACCATTATGTGTTGGGATTTTGTCTTCAACGAGTCAACCCAACAGCAATTACAAAAAACGGCTTGGAGTTGAGGATTGAAATCAACCTTTTGCATTGTACAGCTCGAAATTTGATTGATTCGCTCACAATCACTCACAATCGAATGTTTCTATTAATTTTCATGGTAAACAAGTACTCGACGTCTCAAAATTTTCGAGAGTTGTGCGCCAAGATTTTCTACACACTAATTCCTTTTTTGTTTGATAAATATGCAAATAAAAAAATATTTTTCTGTAATGACCTTTAGTTCCACGACTCCAAAGACATTAAACTTATCTGTCTCTCCCATTCCCCGCCGGTAAATGAGTCATCGCTGGCAAAAGGTTTTTTTTTTACATTGGACCGATCACGACTCCCCATAACGGCTTACTCCCTCAGGAATTATGGATTCGCTCATAATCACTCACAATCGAATGTTGCTGTTAATTTTCATAGTAAACAAGTGCTCGACGTCTCAAAATTTTCGGGAATCGTGCGCCAAGATTTTCTACACACTAATTCCTTTTTTGTTTGATAAATATGCAACCAAAGAAATATTTTTCTGTAATGACCTTTAGTTCCACAATTTCAAAGACGTTAAACTTATCTGTCTTTTCCATCCCCCGCCGATAAATGAGTCATCGCTGGCAAAAGGTTTTTTTTTACATTGGACCGATCACGATTCCCCGCAACGGCTTGCTCCCCCAGGAATTATGGATACCATTATACGAGAAAGATTAGAGGTCCTCGTAATATTTTTATGACCTTCATACAAGAGGACGAGGGAAGGACAGGAGAAACGTTGATGCGAGAGAGGTGAGCTCAAATGCATCACAAACTCCTGGTTATATATTCCATTTCATTCCTTTACGTGCGATAATGCATCGCATTATTTTTATTCCTTTGAACAGAATCTTTTTAAATTGTCAGAGAGTCAGAGGTATCAATAGGATCCATTGAATTCAGGGGGTTTTCAGGGATGATGAGACAAAGGAATAGTTGAGTGAATTTTCGATAGATAAATTGGAAAATTTGAGTCGATGGAAATCGAGAATTCGTTGAATATCATTTTCTTAGTGAAAAATCAGGAAAATTTGAGGCTGAAAGTACAAATAACCATCTCATTTTCACAAATAATTCTCAAAATATTGAATTTTGTTTTTTTGTAAAAATCGTTTCTCAAGGATTTTTGAGGAATTTGCCGTGTAAAATGAATTCATAACTAGTGTTTTGAACCGGCAATGTCGCTGGCTATCCAATGAGAAGCCTTATTTCGTCATTACACCACAATGCGAAAATCTAGAGAATCTATCGAGTGTTTTTTTTTTCGTTGATGGATGAGAATTCCTCCCTCTGCATGAGTCTCTCCACTGCTCCGAGGTGAGAGTACCAACAAGGAAAACTCGGAAAATAAAAACACGAGAAAAAATGATACAGGAAGCAAAAGTCGATTATTCAATCGAGTTTCTTTTATCGCACCCTGAGAAATGGAATTTTAATGCTACCATACACTCTAGTCTCGTCTTGCGTCTCGCTTTGTCAATGACAATAATAAATAACAGTGAGATAAGACCGTGTGTGTCTATCTGTCTCCAGATATCTCGAGAATGGGCTATTTAATATCAAACATTGATTCCATCCTCATTTTTGTTTTGTTTATTTCAACAGAACGAAAACGCTATCCTCTAAAATTAATATCCCCAACTCCGAGAAAACGAGAAAAAAAATTGGAATATCCTCTCAAAATAATTCATCCCCAAAATTAAATCCGGGATAATAGGTCGAGTGGATCTGCTTCTGCTCACAACATGTTGTAAACATGGTTTTAGTATGACTCATGCCATTTTCTCGTAAAAAATTCAAAAATTCGCTGTGGCGTGGGGAGTAGGGATTTTGTTGTTCAACATGAACGAGGGAAAGGGTGTAGGAGGGTAAGGATAGAACTATGCCCGACCTGTTCCTTCCTTCCCATTCTCGACGCTGGGAAAATTTCTGAATTATGAACAGCAACCCCTTGAATTATGAACGTCCCCCCCTATCTTCCCCCGGATATCACCCATCCCCCCCACCCCCAACCACCCACCCATCTCTCCCTGCCAGTGTTTGCCCCATGCCCTAATGCGAAGACAATTGTTTACGATGAATCATATATCCCAGGGCCCTCTTCCACTGGGTAAATATCCGGAAATAAAGACCCAGAAACTGTCGAAAGTGTTATTCATTCAGAATTTTGTGAAAGGAACTTGAGGTCAATTTTTTATTTATTCATTTATTTATTGGGTAGCTGGTGTAGGATGTATCGCAGCAGCTCCTTAATCCTCATTCAGACCAAGAATACAATGGTTTTTAATTCTCGGCTCAAAACTTCCCTGTCTCTCCAATTACGTAAGAATAATTAACGAATAGTGAATTTGAATTTCCTTTCGCAGCATTAAATTCACAGACTGTTGAAGAATTAATGATGAGAATATATTTTTCTGTGCTTTCTAAAATTACTCGGAGTGGAGGATTTCAATCTACTATTTACATTGAGCAGCTCAAAATTTTAGGGTTTCACTCGTGATCACTC